TCTCTAAAAAACCCCTCTAGAGAGCTGAGGACACATCTAAATGAATTAAAATCCAGGATGTAATGTGCCTTTCCCAGAAAAAAAGTAACACCTAGATCACCGACTTTGGTCTGTGGTGGGGACAGCAGGAGAAGGAAGAATCTGCTATAGACAGCTGAGAGAAGTCAGCCAGGCTTGTATTGACTGCATGTGGGCTGGAGGGACAGTTTGGAATCCTGAGGAGCCCCAGCCATGGAGCAAGGTTTCACCTACCTCTTTCCCCTGGGCCTTCCCTGAATCCCTGGATGTAGTGTGCTGGAGGCTGGGGCCAGGGTAAGAGAGCTGAGAGTGTTCTTGGGGTGGGTGGGGCCTGCTGATGGCCAGGGCAGGACAGTCAATAAAAATCTCCCTGAGTCAGGCAGGGCCACCACAGACAGGGGTCAGGCCTGGCTGAAGAGCTGAGAAATATCCCCCTGTGGCTATCCAGGTTTTCCCCCAGGACACAGCAGCCTGCTTTCAGAAGGTGGAGTCTGAGTAACAGGGCAGAGAGTGAGCTCTCCTTAAGGCACAGACAGCAGAGGATGCTACTGGAAGCAAAAATGACTCCCCAGCCCGCAGCCTGAATGTGAAAAAGATGTCTCACTGTTGAGAAAGCTAGCAGCTAGGTTGTAAGGCTCAAAGAGATCTGTGAGGTTTCCCCAGTACTCAGATCCCAACTTCTGAAGGCGAAGTTCTTGTTTCACCCTAGAAAAAATTTAAGCCAATCTTGAACTGAATCTAACTAATGCTGTAACAAATCTGAAACCCAGCTCAACTATAGATTGAAAGGATTCAGTGCCCCCCACCCCCACCCTGAGCAACCCAACTGAAGAAGGAGCTGCCCTTTATGGAAGTCGATTACTGTATTTCTTAAAAAAAAAACAACCCAAAAAACCAAGTATAACTGACATTGGTTCCAACTGTAAAACATAATGATTCAATATTTGTATATTGCAGAATGATCACCGCCATAAGTGTAGTTAACATCTGTCACCATACATAGTTACAGAATTTTCTTTTCTTCTGATGAGAACTTTTAATACTTATTCTTCTGGGAAAAAAAAAAGATTGACTCTCTTGGCACTTTTGAGTCTTCCACACAGTATTATTAACTCTAGTCACCATGCTGTGTGTCATATCCCTGTGACTTCGTCACTTTATAACAGGAAGTTTGTACCTTTTGCCCCCTTCACCTGTTGTGCCCACCTTCCTTTCCCATCCCCTGCCTCTGGCAACCGCAGATCTGTTCTCTGTATGTATGAGCTCATTTTTTAACGATTTCCCATATAAGTGAGATCATTTGTCTAAGTATTTGTCTTTCCCTGTGTGGACTTATTTCACTTTCCATAATGTCTTCGGAGTCCATCCATGTCGTTGTAAATGTCAAAATTTCCTTCTTATGGCTGTCTTGTACCTGTCTACCATATTTTCTTTATCCATTCAGCTAGATGGATATTTAGATTGTTTCCATATCAGCTTTTGTAAATGTTTCTGTGAACATGGGTGCTCAGATATCTTTTCCAGTTAGTGTTTTTGCTTTATTCAGATAAATACCCAGAAGTGGGATTGCTGGATCATATGGTAGGTCTATTTTTAATTTTCTGAGGAATCTGCATACTGTTTTCCATAGTGGCTGTGCCAGTTTACATTCCCACCAACAGTGCACGAGGGTTCCTTTTTTTCCACATCCTTGCCAACACTTATTGTTTCTTGCCTTTTTGGTACCAGCGATTCTGACAGGTGTGAGGTGATATGTCATTGTGGTTTTGAATTTGCATTTCTCTAATGATTAGTGATGATGGGCAGCTTTTCATATATCTATTGGCCATTTGTGTGCCTTTGAAAGTATATCTATTTAGATCCTCTGCCCATTTTTTTAGTCAAATTGTTTGATATTAACCTCTTATCAGATATGATTTGCAAATTCATTCTGAAGGTTGCCTTTTCTTTATTGATGGTTTCCTTTGCTGTGCAGAAGCTTTTTAGTTTGATGTAGCCCCACTTGCTTATTTTTGCTTTTGTTACCTTTTCTGTTGGAGTCAAGTCCAAGAAAATCATCTCCAAGACTTATGACAAGTGGCCACCCATTTACTTCTAGTTTTATGGCTTCAGGTCTTTCATCCATTTAAAGTTAACTTTTGTGTAAGAATGGTGTAAGATGGGTCCAGTTTCTTTCTTTTGCATGTGGCTGTCCAGTGCTCCCAGCACCATTTATTGAAGTGTATTGTATACTCTTGGCTCCTTTGTCATAAATTAATTGATAATATTGTGTGGGTTTATTTCTAGGCCATCTATTATGTTTCACTGATCTCTGTGTCTATTTTTATGTCAACATTATACTGCTTTGATTACCATGGCTTTGTAATATAGTTTGAAATCAGGAAGCACAATCCAATTTTGTTCTTCCTTCTTAAGTTTGCTTTGGCTCTTGGGGTCTTTTGTGGTTCCATACAAATTTTAGACTTGTTCTGTTTCTGTGAAAAATGCCACTGGAATTTGGTTAGGGATTGCACTGAGTCTGTAGATTGTTTCGGGTAGCATGGACATTTACCAATATTAATTCTTCCAATCCATGAGCATGGAAAATCTCTGTTCCATTTATTTATGTCTTTTTCAATTAATCAGTGTCTTATATCTTTCAGTGTATAGCTCTTTCACCTCCTTGGTTAAATTAATTCCTAGGTCTTTAATTTTTTTTGGTGTAATTATAAATGAGATTATTTTCTGAATTTTTCTGATATTTGATTATCAGTGTATAGAAATGCAGTAGTTTTTTGTATGTTGATTTTGTATCCTGCAACTTTACTGAGTTTGTTTATTCTAACAGATTTTTGGTGGAGTCTTTAGGATTTTCTGTGTATAATATGTCACCTGCAAATAATGGCAGTCTTACTTCTTCCTTTGTAGTTTGAATGCCTTTTATTTCTTTTTCCTCATAATTGCTCTGGCTAGTACTCCCAATACTATGTTGAATAAAAGTAGCAAGAGTGGGCATTCGTGTCCTGTTTCTGATCTTAGGGGGATCCTTTTTGGCTTTTTACTACTACGTATGATGTTAGTTGTGGCTTTTCATGTATGGCTTTTATTATATTGAGGTATGTCTCTTTTATACCCACTTTGTCGATTAAAAAAATTTTTTTTAATTTTTTTTTGGGAAGGTACTTAGGTTTTTTTTTTTTTTTACTTATTTTAGAGGAGATACTGGGGATTGAACCCAGGACCTTGTGCATGTGCTCTACCACTTGAGCTATACCCTCCCCCTTGATTTTTTAATCATAAATGGATGTAGAATTTTGTCAGAGGCCTTTTCTGTATCTACTGAGATGATCGTATGGTTTTTACCCTTCATTTTGTTAACGTGGTGTATCACGTTGATTTGCAGATGTTGAATCATCCTTGCATCCCTGGAATAAATTCCACTTGATTATGACATATGATCCTTTTAGTGTCTTGTTGAATTCAGTTTGCTCTTTTGTTAAGGATTTTTGCATCTGTGTTCACTGGGGACATTGGCCTGTAACTTTCTTTTCCTGTGGCATTCTTACCTGGTTTTGGTATAAGAGTATTGTTGGCCTTGTAAAAGGAGGTTGGGAGTGTTAAATGACATGCCCAGGGTAACAAAGATGTATGTGGCAGCACCTGGATGGTAGGCTCAGTAAGTTAGATTTGATTCTTAGGTGTGTCCTAGTCAAAGCTCTCACTGAAAGAAGGGATTTCTTTCTCTGGCATTCCTGGTTCTGTGGTCTCTGCAGGAGCACTGCGGTTAGAGCACCAGTGATTTCAAGTGTAGAACATTGCAGTATGGGCTATTGCTAGAAAATTTTTCGCTATGTTGTGCTGAAGTCTTGTAACCTTGATTCACCGGTCTTTCTAATGACAGAAAATAAGCCCATCCTTCTGACAGCTGTTGAGATATGTGAAGATCGTTGTGGTGTCATTCTACCACTGCCCCCAACACCAGGTAGAGACTCCAGTACCATACTTTGAATAGCAGAATTTAGACAGCAGATCCACAAGGAAATAGAAAACTTGAAGAGCACTGTAAACCAATGACACCTAACAGATACACAGAAGGCTCCCCGACCCAGTACTCCAGAATACATGTTCTTCTCAAGTACATGTGCAGCATTCTCCAGGATAGACCATGTGTTAGGCCACAAAACAAGTTTCAATAAATTTCAAAAGATTAAAATCTGCAACCACAATGGAATGAAGCCAGCAATGAAAAGCGGAAGGAAAACTGGGAAATTCACAAATATGTGGAAAGAAAACAGCGCACTCTTAAACAACTAATGGGTGAAAGAAGAAATAACAAAGAGTAATACTTTTGAGAAATACTTTGAGATGAATGGAAATGAAAATATAACATATCAAAGCTTATGGGATATAGTGAAAGCAACGATCAGAGGAAAATTTATAGTTGTAAATGCCTGCATTAAAAAGAAAAAAAGATCAAAAGATCAGATCAGTAACCTAACTTTATACTTCAAGGAACCAGAAAAAGATTACTGAGATAATTTAGCTAAGTTATCTAACACAGTGTTTTTTGGAGCTTGTAGTATCGTGGGCGCTTAATAACTGTTAGTATCTCATATGCACATCACTAAGACCGATCATTGAAAATGCTTTGAAAAGGAGTGGAGGGTACTGTTTATGGCACTGTTTCCATTTCTGCAGTTTGCTTTGGTGGATTGTGGTATATGTGTTTTTACTCTATTTTTATATTGAGATCTTACACATATAATGCAAATTTCACCCATTTAAAATACACAGGCCAGTGTATTTTAATATAGTCATCCAGTTGTACCTTCTTCACAACTGTGTAATTCAGGAACAGTTTCATAACTCTAGGAAGAAACCCCATACCCATCAGCAGTCTGGCTGGACAGTGATTCGGGCTGTTCTGATCTACAAAACACGTAACTGTTTTTTCTTTTGATTGATTGAGGAACACCTTAATAATTTACTTTTTTTTCCTTTAGGTTTTCTCAAATAATGATGAAGGCCTTATTAACAAAAAGTTACCCAAAGAACTCCTTTTGAGGTAAGTGTACTTAAACTTCTAGATAAAGATTTCAGAGATGATTCAGTCATCAAGTTCCCAGACAACCTTCTTTCTCACTATGAGTCCGTAGCATAGAAAAACAGATAGAATTAGCCTAACTGACTTTCTGTTTTTGTTTTATAGAATGCTGTTCAGCTTGTTGTTAAATTTTACTTGGTCTAATCCAGAATGTACTAAGTATGTGCATAGCATTGGTCTGGATTCTTTTTGTAATGTGGTAAGTATTGTAATAACCTTCAGTAGGTGCCACTGTTTTGGTATCAGTAGATTATCTCAATGTAGTCAGTAACGTGAGGAGAGATTATTGCTTAGGTTGTGAGCTCCTGAAGTCGTAGACATTTAGATGTTTTCTGATCCACTGGTTTTAAAATAATTACACTGTTTTCTTACTGAGCACTTAAAGTGCTGCCAGCCTTTATGTCAGCCTATTGATGTTTTTACCCATTTTGTGTGAAGTGACAGTTCTATAGAACAGGCTTTCTGTCCCTTATTTTTGGCATTACTGAATATACAGCTAGTGATACTTTGTTTGTCGTTTTTACCAAGTAAAGCTGTCAACCGACTTCTGTTGATCCTGAGGCCCTGCGGTTTCCTTTAGTACTCTTCAGTCACCAGAGAAGTCTTATTTTAGTTTTGGAGGTTATATTTTAACTGTTAACAAACCATTAATGCATGTATACATGGTGATCTTTGAGTGACGTTTCCCAGACTCTCTTCATTATCACTGATGTTTCACAAAACAAAACAGAAAAACAGGTTTTGTGATCAAGTAAGTGTGGGAAACACTGGGTTAACAAAACCAATTTCTTTACTACATGAATTCTCAGAGCCTTCAGAAGCTTATGCTCCTAGGTGAATAGTGGTAGCATTTCAAACTTCCTGACTGTGGAACCCTTTTAATATTCCATGGGAAAGTTTTTGGGAAGTGCTGACATACAGTAAGAGGCTGAGTGGAGGGCTCCGTTCCCTGGCTGTGCTAGATCTCATTTTAGCATTTAGGGAGTGAGTATGAGTGTGTGTTGATTACGTATCAGAGTCCATCAGAGTTGCTCTGCAAATGCCATGGGTTGCTCACCTTTGCTCACTGAGTATGTTAGACTTTCGTTCTTGAGTCAGGAATGGGGTGAGACTTCACTTCTTTGTGGTGGCGATCACATTTAGGGGCTTCAAGTTGGTGTTTCATTAGTCATTAGCTGGTGTTTGACACTGTTGTCTGTTGTCACAACCTCGTTCTACTCAGTTAATAAAAAAGAAAATTTAACTCATGACCAGATCATATGAAAAATGGAGCAATCATACTTTATCTCAATAAGATAAACATTTGTTTGGCTAAGAGAGAATGTTCTTTGGCATTTTAGACCATTTTATAGTGGTAACAAGGAAGGAATGATACGTTTATTGCATAAACTGACAAGCTCTGGATCAAGCACAGTAATCTGTTAGAACCAGTACGGCTGGGCTAGGCGAACTTACAACAAGCTGTAGGGGATGCGGTCCACAGCGGACTACAGAGGGAAGGGTGTTTCCCAGAACTGGGCAGTGTTTCATTCTGGGTCTGAACACTTTTCTAGCACAGACATCAAACTATAATATGAATCTGTCACGTTTACTCTGGGGACTCATAACCAGTTTCAGGCTGACCCTTATTAGTCGTCCAGCACTGGAGGCTGATTACACTCCACCCTTCTTGTGAATACTGCTGCTGTTTGTGACCCAAGGCTGCTGGCTTAATATTTTCCCCTTCCGGTAGGGTCAGCTTTTACTGTACTCAGCCATGGTGCTGTATCTATTGCCCAAAAAAGCAGAGGGGTGTGGAATTATATCACTTTCTGTGCTAGTGTGATTTCTCTCTCTCTTTTTTTTTTTTTTGAGGTGTTTTTTAAAAATTTAATTTAATTTTATTTTGGGGGGGAAACAATGTTTATTCTAGGAAGAGCAACTCATTGAGAGATAAAACCATTTACATATATGTACTGTTCATTGTTTCTGAGAACAGTTTAGAGCTATAGCTTTGTAAACTTACATAGTTATCAAAGGAATAAAGCCAACCACAAAATAGGAATCAACAGAATGCAGTCATCCAATCATAAAGGACAGTCAGATGTGCTTACACGTATTCAAGAAATCAATCATCTGAGTTATAAATAATAAGTGGTTCATTTGTGTCTTTTTTTCTTTCAGATTCCACGTATAAGCAATATCATATGACATTTTTCTTTCTCTTTCTTGCTTACTTCACTTGAAATGACCATCTCCAGGTCCATCCATGTTGCTGCAAATGGCATTTTTTATCCTCTTTTGTGGCTGAGTAGTATTCCATTGTATAAATATACCACTTCTTTATCCAGTCATCTGTTGATGGACATTTGGGTTGTTTTCACATCTTGGCTATTGTAAATAGTGCTGCTATGAACATATGTGTCTTCTATGTGCTAGTGTGATTTCTGACCTATTGTTTTAGAAATTTTAGTTCTTTTAAAGATCTTCAATGGACCTAGCTTTCAAAAATCCTAGAATTAGTTTTTGAATCATGCTGAGGCACATAGATCATTTTTTCCAAAAGAATTGTCATTTGAGAGCAAATGTTCATAACATGTCTGTTCATAGATTTGCATTCCCACTTCTGGTCTTACTTAGGCATGTGTAAGGGGCATTTGAAGTACTGCTACCAAGGGTCTTCTGTGACTCTTAGTCTTAAAACTAACTGTAGCCAACCAAGGTATTTTAATTTTTGTTGGCCTTTTGATCATTTCTGCCATCTTACTCTCACACTTTCTATTCTCAGTAACAGTAGCTCTCCCGTTGCCTGGCTACCCTTCTTAAACAAAAATTTGAAGAAGGGTTTGAGCCAGGTTACCAAAGCAGACATCTTCATTGTCAGTTAATTCCACAGTGAAGACTCCGCCGCGTAGAGCTTAAGTACTGATTGGTTTTGCTAAGTGAAAGGATGCCTTCGTACTTTTCAGTCTGACCTTGGCTTGCATTTTTACTTCATATTGTGGACTTCGCTGTGACAGAGCAGACGGTTCCTGCTCTCACTGGATTCCTGTTCACTTTCAGCCTTACTCATCAGTGCATGTCAGTTCTTTGACTTTATGAAAATCTTATTTGCTTGCAGTCAAAGTCATTTTCTCTTCTGCCATTTTTTACTGCCTCTGTTACCGTCTCTAAAATTCTCTACTAGCTTCCATAACTGATCACATCGACTAAAGCCTCAGCTTACCCCCTGGAACCATTAACAAGCGTAATCTGGAATTATGTGCTGCTTTTCATCTCTTTCTATCACTTTGAATTCACTCAGAGAAATCTGTGAGGTTTTTTTATTTCCATCTGATTATCTTATAGCTAGTTTAAAGACTACTCACTATTATTAATCTGCAGGTTCTTTCTACCTGCCCCCCATTTTTAGTTGGTTCTTAATAAGCTTTACAATTTTGCTTTTTCTACCCAGCTTTCACTCATAAGTTAAAGGTACTCAAGTTCTCCCTCTCACACAGTTCAACAGATGGCTTATAATTTTTCTCTTTCTGGGGAGTCAGTTACACGATGTTTGTAACAGTGGGAATATTTAGTTTGTTGTGCTCTAGACATCTGTCAGTCAGGTGAGTTGTCCTTGCATATGTTGGTCCTCATTGTTCTTGTCTGTATTGCATTTGTGCCCAGACTTGCTGGAGATTTCAGCTGTCCCCATTTACTAGTTGTGTGACTTCAAAGTGGCTTAACTCTCTGGGCCTTAATTTTCCACATCCGTAAAGTGGGAATAGTAGTAGCTGTTGCCTAATGTAGTTGTTGCTAGCTCCGAGAGTACCTGGCATTTAATAAGTGCTAAGTAAGTGTTAGCTCTTACTATTATTAATTAGTATCAATTTTGGATGTCTGAATGCTTAATAAATGCTGTTTGACAGCACAGTCAGTTTTAATTCGAACAACTGGTAAAAGCAAGCTCTCCTGATGTTGATCTTAACATGTGCTCCTGCTGACCGTATCTCAGTGAAGAACCTGGTTATTTAGTAAGTTAACATAGCCCAATGCTTCATTTCAACAACTTGCACTAATTCAATCTTAATGGAAATTGCATGCTACCATCTGACATTAAACTGACAACTACTCGGGCTTAAGCAGAGCTGTGGTGGTATTACGACAACTGATAATCATTTTGTATTATAAAAAGGCGGTCTCTTGGAAGGAATCCTTCCTCTTTTGAGAAAAGAAGTCTTATGTGAATGAATATTGGTCTACAACTCAGATTATAAATTTTAGTATTAATTTGTTTGGCCGTAAGTTTTTACTTCTGTTTTTGTTGCTCTCACGTGTTAGTGATGAAGTGAAAATACATGTAGACAGCTTCATAGGAGATAGGCAGTGCTACGTGCAGTAAATATTTTAAAACATTGTGAGAAGACAAAGCTCTTATTAGTAATAAATAATAATGAAAGAAACCTCTTATTAGACATATTTTTGCAAACTAATTTTCTTTCCTTTTAAAATGTATATAGATACCTGGGAGAATTAAGAAATGCTAGTGTTTGTTGGCTGGCTGAAGGAAGGTTTCATTGCCCCAGACAGGAGAGCCGAGCCTAGTTAATTCTGGGCAAATGGAATCAACTACACAATTACACATAATTTGTCAATATTATTAGTTTGCTAAGGAATATTATAAAATGACCAGCACATGAATTTTCAGATTTTCCTTTTCTAAAATCTGTAAGCCAGTTCCATGAGTGAAAATTGTGGCTTTTGTTGCAATCATTAAGTTACAGCCCAGTGCTTAGTGTAATAATCGGTGGGGGCCTTGGGGAGCAGTGCAGTTAAGGGCTCATTCCTGTTCGTGGCATCGTTGAGTGGGTGCTGTTGCCTGCTGGTTGGTTTCAGCACTCCATGGACTTTTCAAGGACTGGTACCTGCACCCCCTGCTGTCTGGGATGCCATATGCATATATATCTATGTCTGTATCTATAGATTCATATATTCCAAGGCAG